TTGTATAAGTTACCAACAGAGGGCAGTATGTGACCTAAAGAAAATCCACTAAGTAGAAGATGAAGTATAACTCTAAACAAAGCCTAATTTTAGGTGAATTAAAGTCTTTATATCAGGTGATGTAAATTTCTTGTTTGAACGTCTAATTRTTAACAGACTGGGACAGAAAAAACAGCCTTTTGATGGTGCTTTGAAGAAGTTTAAACAATTTTTGGTCTTTTATTTATTTATTTTTTTAGTTCTTTCTTTAATATTTTTCTTTGCACCATGAAAGTCCAAGGAAAGTGTATTTAAAATGTATTTGTTCAACTATGCAACCCCTCCAGGCCAAAACCTTGGAAGCACTGATCTAAACTTTTGAAGAATAACGAACAAAAAATGTTAATCATGTTCGGAGGCGGCATGGCTTCTGATAACTTTGGTCTCACAGGATCAGAGAGGAGGAAGGAAAACATATGCTTCTGGAATAGTAATTTCCTTTCTTTAAACTTCAGTAGCTGTCATGATACACAGTTTTCTGTGAAGAGCTGTGTTTAACCGCTTTTCCCTCTTGAAGAGCAACGCTAAAATGAACAGGCTGTTGGTGTTGGAATATTTATTAAATTTGATACCTTTTCAGCAGAGCTATATAAAGTGCTTAAAAGAAATAACCAAGTAAAAGTAAAAATACCTCAACAGCAATTGTGTTTGGTAAAAATGTATTTCACTGATAAGAAAAGTATTGAAGTAAAAATCATAAAACTGCTCACAATAATCGGGAAATTAAAAGTACTTTTACAAAAACACTCGAAGAAATTAAATGTTGAATTCACTTAATTAAACTGGTTACGCTAAACAGCGTTAAATAAATTGAGCAATTTACACTTTTTCTTTTAAAGCAAAAAATATAATTTACTCAGCTCAGTTTAGTGGAACCAGTTTTGTTTTGCGAATGACTCATTTTCCAATTTTTATAAAATTGCYGGAAYTATTGTAATTTTTGTGTTTTTTRTGATTTTTTGTTTGTTTGTTTGTTGAAGGTGACTAGGTGTACTCCAAAAGTTAGTGCATATCAAATGATTACTTTCTGCAAGTTTTATTAAAATTTGTCCAGTTGTTCATGAGATTATATCTGCTTTTGCCAGCGGGTAAAAATGATTGCTGCTGATAGGTCAGAGGTAGATTAGTGCATACAAAAAGACACAACAGTGCAAATAAACTCGTAGCTACAAATATAGTCATGAACCAGTGTGCTTATATTCATGCATTGTTTTATGCATGCCTGGAGACTTTTAGAAGAACAAGGCTATCACATTTAATATACACAATAACCGTGTCTGTTTCTTTTGGTGTTTTTAGTATCACGCTGAATAAAGTCGCCTTTAGCGAGAACACATTAATCTGTTCTCCTTTTTTTTCCCCCTACGACAGTAATTGTGAGCAGCATCTTAAGACGGGGGATAATGTGCCAGGAATCATTAAGAATATCCAGCCTCCTACACATATTCCRTAATCGAGTTTGCTTTTTTATATGAGTTGAGCCTTATTCATTAATGTAAACCCAGGACAATACAGCTATGATGCACTGCATCCTGCAGGGTAAAACTAGCAGGACTCTAACTGCCCCCGCCACCAACACAAGAGCACAAAGCAAGCTTCTGATGATCAAGACAACTCATTTTGAATTTCTCTCATGCACTTATTGTTCCCTGTAGGAAGACAACAAATCTATTGGATTCTGGGTAGAAAAGTATGAGGACTGTTTAATCAGAAAACAATTTGCCATTCAGTGTGAAGCAGTGCTGCTTATAGGATCAGAGAATGCCTCTGATTACTGCACAGTTCATGATGTGATGGGATGATATAACTGCAAAACATACTCTAGATGACACAATTGGGTTGCTTTCAGCGACATGGTATCATAGAAGACCTCAAAATTAGGGCTAATATTGGAAAAAAATGCTGGAAAGAGGAATATAAAAGAATTAGATATTGCAGAAAAAAACTAATCAATATTCTGGACAAGTCTTCACTCATGAGAATGGTACTCTACTGCACTCTGCATACTCCCTTCTGCTTCTTGCCTCTGCATATGCATGAATACATAAGCATGGATTCTAATTTTAACAAATCCAAGTACATTCTATTCAAAAACTATTTTCCCCTGCTCTGATTTATSTCACAGCTTTGAATCTGTAGTTAAATCTTAGAGCTGTTTGTGTGCTGCCTGTCTACTTTAATAGCCATTAAAACGCCATAAAGCGCAAACCCGAGTAATACAAATATCTGTCGTTATGTTTATTGTTGCCCATAAAACAGTCTTCTGAAATGCTGTAAAAAATACAATATCAGGTCTAAAAAAGCTCAATAACTACACTTAAAGTCAAACCGGTGCTGTTTGTGAAGGCAAGTAATGCAGACAAATCTTTACCACAATAGCTGTAGCTCATATTTTTTGAAGCATCGAGCATAATTTTCTCCAGGGATGCTCACTTTCTCAAATGAAGAAATTGCCAGCATCTCATTTGAGATGAATGCTGTCTGATAGAAGTCACAGTCGGCGACTGATGAGAGCAATGTTTGAACAATGTGTTTGTTTCAGTTAGCAATCAGTAAAGCTGATTTAGGCTTGCCATTTGTTTTAGAGTCATTATCACAGTTAGAAACATAATTTAGTGTACATGTTTTTTTTTCTTTGTCCTCAAGGACACGTGGAGTACTGGACTGATATCTACAGCACAAACATCAGCTTCAGCCATAAATAGTTTTTTGCATTGTTGCAGATTATATTTGACACACTTTGCATTGCAATGTGACATTTTTAATGCAATTTATTTTAGTATGTGGACATTTAAACAATGCTGTACTAAAAAAACTGAGGCTGGACGAGATGAGAAAAGTGTGTAAAGGTTTACAAAATAACAAGGTGCGAAGAACTCGTCAAGACATTAAATCGTCTCAAAGCAGTATGCAGCAAAGATAACAAGTCCATTCAAATCAGAGTCAAATCCAATTACAGCCAATCCTRTCCAATTATAATACAATACAATTATACGCACTGCAAAATGAAATGCAAATGAGTAGAAATGTTGTTTAAGAAAACCAGCAGATTGTGTTGAATCTTCCCTTGGGCACAATCTCCCATCCTGAGCAGCAGGTCAGTGACAGTAGACAGGAACAGCTACCTTTCAACAGAACAAAACCATCAGCAAAACTGGGCTCTGTATGGACGGCCATCTACATCAAACAGCTGGGGCTTGAAAGGACAGAAACTAGACACAGACAAACAGCAAGAGGTCTGGGTGTAGTTTCTATGAGAAGAAAAACTACAAAAAATAGGTTAATAGTAGCAATAATTGTGAATATGGAGATTGGAAAGAGTAAAGACAGAGTGATGAAATCAGTTTGTACTCCAATACTCCTGTAGCAGCATAACTAAGTAATATACTGTAGTATTTATCAAAAAGAAAAGTCTCAAGCCCAGTCTTAATGACAGAGTGTCAGTCTCATGGACAGAAATTGGAAACTGGTTTCACTAGAGAGGAGCCTGATAACTGAAAGCCCATTCTTCTTTATTTTAGATCCACAAGTAAACCTGCAGTCTGAGAGCAAAGAGGTATAACAATAAAATACACTTCCTGGTCAAAAAAAAGTTGCCACCTGGATTAAACTAAGAAAATAGGTTTAAGCCTCCTATTGGATAATTACTGCATGGGTGATTATCTTTCAGCTGGCAACACGTTTTTTAACCCCAACTGGTGCAACGAGTTGCTTCTCATTTCTTAAACAACCATGTTGAAAGACATGTCCCTTGGTCATGGAAAATATGTCAGTCTGTTTGAGAAGGGTCAAATCACTGGCTAAACAGAAAAAAAAGGTCTTGATTTGCTAGGAAGCATAAAGATTGGACTCTGGAGCAATGGAAGAAGGTCATGTGGTCTGATGAGTCCAGATTGACCCTGTTCCAGAGTGGTGGGCGCATCAGGGTAAGAAGAGAGGCAGGTGAAGTGATGCACCTATCATGTCTACTGTACCAGCCTGTGGGGGCAATGCTGTAATGTGGGGTTGCTGCAGGTGTTCAGGTCTAGTTTCAGCAACAGTCTGTGCTCAAAGAATGAGGTCAGCTGACTACCTGAATGACCAGGTTATTCCATCAATGGATTGTTTCTTCCCTGATGGAATGGGCATATTCCAAGATGACAATGCCAGGAGTCATAAGGCTGGATTTTTCTGGTATAATTTTAACCGGGCCAATCAGTGAACAGAAGGAGGAGTTTTGAACAATGAYATCGATTTTCTGTGCCATTTTAGTCTGCTTGTAGTTTAGCAGTGGAAGAAGTGAATGAAGCCAGTGTTGACAATGCTTCCAAATGAAAAAGTTGTCTCTCATGGCCTGCAGAACTCATTTACAGCCACTTTGTTCAACTTGGTACTTCTCTCTTCCCAGTAGCGGATGGTTGTTTACAGCGCATGCGATTTCCGGTTAGCTTCTTAGCTTAGCCTCCTTCACAGTCGAGCTGGGGTACTACATATGTCACAGCCGTTAGCAATTGGGTAAATCAACTTCAATCATTTTAAACTTCAACAGAGGCCACACCTCCAGCAAGCAATCACTTCTCAATAGCAAGACCCTCTGTAYGAAGCAAAGCATAGAACAAGGGGCTGGTTTTTACCAGGCTAAAAATCTGCTAAAGCCAGCATTGTTTTTTGAAAGTTTAAAGCATTTTATCACAATGTTAACCTAAATCTATTTGGTTCATTCTTATCACGTGCCTTTACATTGTCACTTATTATCTTTCCCTCATTCTTATGCTTTTTGCATCATTCTAGGTGTGGGCCAGCAACTTCCTGCCCAATGAACCGGCTTTGTCAGACCGCTGCCAGAGAGCGTACTACCAGAAGCACGGAGAGCCGTTGCTGCTGCAGTACGCTAAACAAGAAGCAGAGAAAAAGGTACAGCTTGCACACATAAGCGTATAAGTGGACGTTTTTTATTATTCCTGTCAGTTGGTAGTTAAGCTGAGAAGCTATTTTATATTTTTTATAGAGTATTTCAGCAGAAGCAGGTTCACAGAAACAACTATGGTACAAACACGTGCTGGACATAAAAGCCTCTCAGCCAAAATTATGTTTGCTCCACCACCGCTATTAGGGCCAGGTGAACCCTGACACAAACATGTTTCTTTTAGGGCAATTTATTAAAAATAAAAATCTATATGACAATAAGGTGAGCAAAGAGAGAAACATTTTGTTAAATGTGTTTTTATGTAAAAAAAAGGATCTAAAGCAACATTTGTACATTAATAAACTATGATTTGTGTTCTATACCTGTAGACCTGCAAAGTCAAAGCATAATATATATTCATAACAAGGTGTTTAGTTAAACTGAGGGGTTAGGTTTTCTTGATTCATGAGTCATCTTACTACAATTTCAATTTAAACTGTCTAAATCAAGTTATTCTTACAGTATTTAAAAGGGTACAATATCCCTGCAAACAGCGTCTCTTCCTTCATCTGCTTTCACTCCCTCCCTCCTTTTAATGCACCTTTTTTCCTCTCCTTTCATCGTTCTCTCTCGATTTCCCGTCCTCTGCCTGTCTCCCAGCTACTGAAGCGAGTGATTGGACAGCATAGATGCTCATTAGCATAATGCTGCAGCGTCCGTCTTCAACCTGCATGAAGATTAGGAAAACCGTGTGTGTGTGTGTGTGTGTGTGTGTGTGTGTGTGTTTGTGTGTGTGTGTGTGTGTAAGAGACAGAGAGAAAGTGGGAGGTTGAGCACATTTAATATGTTGGCAAATGCCATATTAGTAAACTCGCACGTCAAACTTTTGTACGTGAATTAAACTCGACATGTCCGGTTTTTTTTCCCCAATACCTAATGGCTTCCTTCCCCACTTTAGTATCTTTTGTTGTAGGTTATATTTATAAGTAAAACCATGAAATTGGCTTCACATGTTTTGACATCTGGCAGCATGGCAGGGCTGTGGTGAGAGCTGTTGCYTCATAATGTGAAGGTCTCAGGTTCACCTCCAGGTTTGGAGCCTTTCTGTGTGGAATTGAAAAGTTTTTCCCGTGAGAGTGTGGTTGTTTGTCTCATCCGTCTCTATGTGGCCCTGTGATGGACTTGCGACTTGTCCAGGGTGTACCCCGCTTCTCGCATAGTGACTGCTGGAAATAGGCACCAGCTGCCCCATGATCCAGAAATATAAATGGATGAATGGATGTTTTGAAATCAGATATGCTTCATATATGTTTGATCGCAATGGCATAAACCTACAGCCTTTTTCTTTTTGGCCTCAAAGTTGTTGCTGTTTAATTTGCAATGCATGTACTGTTTAGGTATTGAAACTTAAAAGTTATTTTAAAGCGTGTACTTGTTGCTGTGCTGTTAGCTTGGATTGCATTAGATTTTGTAGCTGTACTTGAGGAAGCTACCGCTGATTGAATGATGAGCATAGAGGAAAAAAATAAAAACAGAAAAAAAATACTTTATTTATGTTTTTCTTTTATAAGTTTTTCAGTCTGTTGGACTGAGACTATTATTTTTGTTGTTGTTGTTGTTGATTAGCCTCTTAACACAGCTAAAATCCACTTGAGTCTACCTCAAGAGGAGTCGTTTCACTTTCTATTGRATTTTTTCCTTTCTGAATTAAAGTAATTGTTTTGAATACCTCGTAGCTCTTGAAGAGTTGAAGAGAAATAATGGGGTAAATGATGAAGTATCAAACTCAACTCCAAATGGTTTAAGTACAAAGTGTGACAAGAGCAGTGAAGTAAGACAATGAAAGGCAGAGAGAGAATAAAGGAGGAGAGGGATGTAAACAGACATATAAAGTCAAAGAGAGAAGGAGATATAAGATGTGGGGGTAAGAAGAAAAGCCACGGATTTGTTCAGGGAATGAGCAGACCTGTTCTACTGGGACTGGTTGAGCATGTGTGTGTGCGTGTGTGTGCATGTGTGTGTGTGATCGGGAAGATGAGATTAAGGTTCTGAAAGGAGCAGAGTAGACACTTGAATCTCCTAGACAGCTACTCATGGGGACCGACCTTTATGAAATCAGAGCAGAAGCTGGAAGCAGAGGTGTTTGTGTGTGAGCGTGTGGACCAGAATTCTTTGTCTATAACCTGTTGGTGTGTGTATGTGTGTGTGTTTGTGTGTGTTTGTCTCTATCTCTTTGCTCCTGTCTCCCTGACCCGAGGTTAGGACCGTAAATTGGCACACTGGAGTGTTTGGAGGAGTCTGAATTGGACTTTGGTTCCCTGGTGACACGCTTGACTTTGAAACAAAAACTTTCTAAGCTAATTAAATAAAACTCTTTGGGATCGGCTGTCTGTGAGTTGTCTCTTTTAGGACATCCTTTACTTCCACTCCTTGTGCTCAGTTTTCCATCTTCATTCTGCTACTTTGCAATTCATTGTAAGTATGGGAGGACAAAAGCTGAGGAAAGCAAGTGTGACTGAGGAGGAGTAGGAGGAAACTGAAATCTTGATCAGCATTTTTTTTTCTTTTACAAAGTTCCATATGTAGCAGTATACCATCTGTCAGAGTTAAACCAATTTAAACAGTGATTTTATTTCCAGTTGGTCATTCTATGCATATTTAGCTAACTGATTACTAAATTGTAAAATGCAGCTGCTATAACCAACTCCTGATTTCTAAAGCTTGACATCGGCAAAAAAAACAAAACAAAAACAAAACATTGGTCGACCTCTAACATTTGAGATAAATGTGTAAATGTGTAAGCCAGTTTGTGAAAAAAGAGCTGTCCTCTGCAGAGAACACGAGTTGTGAGAATAGTGTGGCTGAACTGTGGAGAAAATGTAGCGGAAAACACAAAAGAGAATCTGAAAAGTTGAAAAAACTGATGGGAGTGTCGTTTTTATTGTGAAGTAGCTGTGTGAACTTAAATTTCCCAACTCCTGTAACGGTACATCAAAATGTAAGAACTTGCAATACTTTATGTATTTTATAGTTAGTAAAAAAGGGAGGAATTCATGATAGAATATTAATATTTATAGTTTTGAAAATGTGAGACAAGGTAAAAGTTGATCAACATATGAACTCTCTTTCTATTGAAATTTGATTTGATCGTATTTGTTTCCTGAATTTCCTTTACAAAATTTTGCGCAATAATGTATAGATGAGTTAAACGTCAGAGTGTAACAATACATGTACCCGTATTGAACAGTGCTTTAGGTTCAATACACACTTGTATCGAACAATACAGATTTTTAAAATTTGTTTTATCAATTTGTCTTCTGAAGATGCTCTGTGTTGAAGGMTCACAAGATCTACGTTTAACTACTCCACCTAGGCTGCATTTTCGAGCACAGATCCACTGAGAAACTTGCTGTTTTCAGCAATATTTAATTGAAAAACTGTACTTCTGAGGTTAAGCGAATATTTATAATCAATTTCTGTAAATTACAAGTTAAGAAGGACATGGACATTTGTCTTTTTTTGTRTCRAAAAWATATTGAACYGTGACACTAAAGTATTGAACCAAACTAAATTGTGAAATATCTGTATCATTGCACCCCTAGTTAAAAGGTCTCTGATTCTTGTTTGGACTGTAACATTTCTATGTGGAMCCCCCACCCCCCACCCCCAATATTGAGCTTTATCATTTAAATACCCTTTTTATGTGTAAAAACTTAAATAAAATAAACTGCAAAATCAACCAAATAATGAATGTTTGTCATAGGTGAACTGATTTCCTCCCAGGTATTAAARTTTTCAACCTCACAACAAGCAAAACCATAAATCACGAATCCTGTCTCTGACTTTAGAAAGCAATTAAAGCTTAAACCCATAGTCCCAATTAAAAACAATCAACTGGAATCRGATGCCCAAGYAGAAACAGTCAAGGTRTACAGAGCATTACATTTCACAAGCTTAAACAATAATGTTCAGCAAGGCATTAGTGCATAATTAATGAATCTACTGGGAACATTGTAGTGTCTTGGTAACTGTATAGGAAAACACAAAGTAATTAAACAATATCACAACTTGTTTGGTTCTTTTAATGAAGTGCACAACCTGAATAATAYTCTCCTTGGAGCAAAATGCTTTACCTAAATCACTGCTTGCCTTTCAGTATATACCCAAAAATAAAACAGGAAAGAGATGTAAATTGAAAGCAATGTGCTGTAGAGAGTAATAGTCTAAACCTAATGTTAGAGGTTGACTAATGTGGGTTTTTTTTTTCTATGGCTGATGTCAATGCTGAATTTTGGAAGTCAGGGTACCTTCTGGCCCATATGCAATGAAAATACATATTTCCATTTAACTAAAAATAATGCATTTGCATAAAACAACTACTGTTATACAGTATATATTTGAAGTGAAGAATATATTTCAATTAAATCCAGATTATTCTAAGWTAAAAACTGAGATGCCCTCTTAAGAAAACAGGTAACTGTTTGGAAATGCCTTAACAATACTRATTATCAATAAGAACCCTTTGTCCTTCAGTTTGTTGATGAAGTTGTCTGCGTCCAAGTGGGGCCAAAAAAATAAGGGGGGAAAAAATTCATCATTTGTGCTTTGAGA